CAAAAAAATTATTTTAGCCGCCATTTTTCCAATATGGCCGCCAACTTTGATTTTTATTACGGAACACCCTGTATTTTATGATGTATTCTGGTAGAAAAAGTAATTTTAAGACGATTTTATTCTTGTGATTTTTTTCATAAACCTAACCGTTTCAAAGATAATAATGGTTTAAGTTGTGAAATTTTGAATGGTTTTCGAGCAAAACAGCTGGCATGCTTGCTTAGGCCTTTATCGAAACTCTTTCTCATGCAGAAATTTCAAAACTTTAACCATTATTATCTTTAAAACGGTTAGGTTTATGAAAAAAATCGCAAGAGTAAAATCGTCTTAAAATTACTTTTTCTACCAGAATACATCATAAAATACAGGGTGTTCCGTAAGAAAAATCAAAGTTGGCGGCCATATTGGAAAAATGGCGGCTAAAATATTTTTTGTTGTTTTTTAAATAAAAAATCCAAGGCACTTACCATTTAACTTTTTTTGATATCTCTTATAGTTTTCGAATAAAACGGCTGGCACACTTATATCAATCACCCTGTATGTATATATATATGTGTCCGTGAACACGATAACTTGAGAAATTTTTATCCGATTTTGATGAAATTTGGTTTGAAGGTGTAAGGCGGGATAAACTTGAATGAGTTCGCGATTCAGCATGATCGGACCATGGGAACAGGGTTTTATGGGGTAAAAATTGGTTTTTCTCACTTTTGACCCTCAAAACACAAAATTTCCCAATTTTTCTCTAAACCTTCAACCTTCTTAAAGAGCTTAAAAAAACAAACAATTCAGTATATCAACGTGTTTTTGTACGGTTATTGGTTACGGAGAAAACTAAAAAAATGGTAAATTTAAAATTCCCATGTTATTCTTATGGAGAATATTGTAAAATGTTGTAGTTTGCTTGTTTATGGATATCTTTTGATCAAACTTGGCAAATATATTCATTTTATACTAAGCAATAATTATTTTACTTAAAACACACACTTTATTAGTTTCCTTGTAGCAGCAAACCTAGGTACTCGTTAAACCTAATGTTATTTAAATAGATCAATTGAAAATCAATTCAGCCAAATGGAAATTCGCTTAGGCGTTAGGTTTGCTGCGGCGGGGGTATATTTTTAGTGTGGCCTTGGTAGTGGTGAAGGAAGTAGTCAAGGCTAGCAGTCCGGAGTTTGGGAACCCTTTTTGGCAGTTAGATTAATGTACCTGCAATACTAAAATGCTATGGGAAGGGAGGGAAACATCTCCCCGACGTAGGAGGTGAGAAATGCGGAGTGTGGGAACCATTTGGTGACAGTTAGATTTATGTATCTGCAATGAAACAGTTGCAATACTATAATGCTATGGAAAGGGTGGGAAACAGGTCCTTGACATAGTAAGTAGTGAAGGAAGTAGTCAAGCCGAGCAGTGCGGAGTATGGGAACTGTTGGTGGCAGTTAGATGTATGCATTTGCAATACCGAAAGGCTGTTGGAAGGGAGGAAAACAGGTCTACGACGTAGGTAGTGGTGATGGAAGTGGTAAATTCAAATTCAAGCAGTGCGGAGTGTGGGAACCGTTTATGGCATTTAGATTCATTAGTTAGATTTATTGGATTTTTAATAATTTTTAGATGATATAACAGGAACGATGGATTTACCTCCTATAGATAACTGTTGGAAATCCATTACGTATATTATAGAGGTGTGCGGATATCCGAAAAATCGGGTCGGATTCGGTTCGGTTCGGATATCCGTATCCGAACCGGGCCCAAATTCGATATCCGACACTATCCGTTATATATCCGACTTTTTCGGATAGACAATATATTACAGCAATACGTTTCCAACGACCTAACAGCAAACGGCAAAGAAGCCGTATGATGCAATACTGATAACTAGTTTAGTCGTTATCGGCTGTTTTGCTTTTCAATTAGATTCGTCTGGAACGAACAGACATAAAGCAGAAAAGAACTACCATGGTCAAATGAAAGTCAACTCGTGCTTGTCTCGCTCCTTATACTAGGGGCGCTGCGTAATAGTTTTTTTTTACAGTACTGTTTCAAAGTAGAAAAATCTAGCCTACTACTGTGATGTTACGTAAACAATAGATTTAATGTTTCCCGAAAAAAAAGTCAGAATAGAAACAATAGAAAGGCAACACAATAGAAGGGTGGGAGGGGTTGGGCAATGACCTCGAAAGGAGCGCGGGTAGTGAGTCAAGTAGGACCGGAGAGGGAAGGGGTGGGTAAGACCTTGAAGCTATATATATACTTGCACTACTTCCCTAAACCTAAAGGACTGGCCGGCGAGTGGTATTCAAATCACAGGACAAGATACGTTGTTTTTTGGGTATTCATTGCCCGGTTTGGCTTTGGATTGTCTTACTGTGTAGAAACTTTGAATAATAAAAAATAAAGTTAGAACTAACCATGATTATTTAGCATTGATTGTGTACATATTAAATTATTAAACTATAGGGACCATGGATATATACAATCTTTTGTCTTTTGTCGTGATTTTAATTTCAACATCAAAATACAATATTGCACAATCGTGATATTTTAGGTCATTGACCTTTATTATGCATCCGGTATTGCTGTTTCAGAAGAGAAGCATGTTGATAAATTAAAAATTAATATTCCCGTAGTTAAAAAGAATTATTTTATAAACCTATAAAACAAAATCATAAAATCTTACATAAAGATAACAATAACGGAAATTGTAAAAAGGGTATAAAGATAACAACGTCGTTATTCTTTCTCTTTGTTCTTCTATTTCTTGGGTTTCCCTTCATCACGCATTCAACAAGTTGCCATGGTTACTAATCAGTAATCACCCATGTCGTTATCAGCTTTTGTGACATAGCGCACAGCAGGGGAGTAAAACTTGACGAAAATCGGTTAATTTTGACCTATTATTTAATTACCAATGAATGTACTACTTTATTGGTATTTGGTACTGTATTAATAATCGGTCAAAATGGCCGCATTTTGTCAAATTTTACACCAAATTTATTGAAATTTCAAGGTGAATATTAATAAAACAATTATTACTAAATATTTGTATTCATTTAAAAGATTGATTTGTGGTAATGGGTTCCCCACTGAGTGCAGCCGAGCGGCACTAATGAGGGTCGGACCTTCTTGGGGGTAAACAATAGACGGCTAATCAGACCCTCCCCTCCCCCGTGTGCTCCCGCTATCTCCGCGTTCCGCCATCTCCGAACCCAAATCTGTCCCGCCACCTCCGAATTCTTGAGTGACCCTTATAGGCTGCGAAGCCCCGTGGATGGAAGATTTAAGAAAAATTTAACCCGTAGGTTAGGTTAGGTTAGGTTAAGTTAGGTTAGGTTAGGTTAAGTTAGGTTAGGTTAGGATAGGACGGAAAGTCTTAACGCATGTAGTAACCGAGGATTATAGGGGTCACTCTGAAATTCGGAGGTGGCGGGACACGGAGATGGCGGGACGCGGAGATAGCGGGAGGTAACCTCCTCCCCTGTGGTCTGGAGAAAGCTTGTAAACAAACTATTGCACAAGCGTGATTTGACATTGGGCTGCTTCAACTATAATTTTATCAAATGAACTGTGATGTTTCAAAATCAAAAACAATAATTTAGGACCATACTGCTTAACAATAATGGACTGCAATTATTGTTGAACATACAATCCATTTTTAACAAACTAAGATTATACGATTCAAATACAATTATAAAAATTATCTTGGTATTTTACTTGGGGTAATGAAGTTATGTAGGCTAGTGTAATTCTCGGTTCATCAAGGTTCTACTGAATTATGTTTGGCAGTGAATAAGTGTAGAATGCAATTTATAAATTCAGGGATACACACCTTTTACACAGTTATAAAGTCTAATTTAATTGCCCAACATCAAATTGTGAGCTAGAGCCCATCTTAGTGCATTAGTGATGTTTTCTAAACTTGGCAAACCCGCAAAATGCCACTTGAGTCCAATAATCCGTTCCAAAAACGTAAGGAAATACAATGTGAAAATAAACTTAAGATCGAACTCTTTGGCTTGTGAGAACCAGGAAACAAGATAAAACATAACCTCAAGTAAACAAGCCCAAACGTTTGACATCAGTCCTGCTGAGCTAAGGTGTTGTGTGAAGATTTCGGCTGCTAGTGTACTTAATTCAAGCAACCAACTTTTGAAAATAAATGTTGTGAATTGTGATTTTCAAGGGAGAGAAAACTGTGGACTTGGCTAATTTGAAATTCTATAGTTCAAAATCGTCATTTAAGTTTATTTACGCAGCTTTACATTGTTTTATAGGTTAAAAATACATATGCAACTTATTATTACCCGCGCCGAACTATCCGAATCCGAAAATATCCGAATCCGAACCTCCCAATATCCGATCTGATCCGAACTGAGCCTCAACTATCCGATCCGAATCCGATCCGAAATGAAATTTCACTATCCGCACACCTCTAGTATATTACCAATGACTTTGGTTAATTAATGGACGAGAAGTTAGGATTGTTGTTGACTGAGATTTGGTTGATTTGCCCATACAAATAACATTATTGTGATCACCAGTGACACCGGTAAGTAGGCTAGGTGTGGGTGGACTCTTTCATTACTGCGCTCATGTTCACTCATCCCATTACGCGCAGAATAAGCTTACTACTAGTTTATTTCCTTACAATATTCACAAATACAAATATTCAAATACGCCTAGCCATCTCCAGGGAGAGACCTGGTAGTGGTAGAGCAAGGGACTTCCTTCCCCGAGGTCAGGGTTCAAATCCCGCCAATTACCGATGGATTTTATACTTAAGTGATAAACCCAAAACCCTAGGACTAGCCTGAAGTAATGTGAAAAACAATCCCAAGATAGAGCCTAGTGAACCTAAACGTGAAGGTAGGACATAATACGAAAATAATTCTCTCTATCCAAATGCTTAGAGACGATTGTTTGCAAATAGCAGCTACACAACAATGCTGAATAATTTATAGGGGCTCATTCCTAAAAGTAAACAATGTTGAACTATTTACCCCTCTGAATTTGTTCTGATGTTGAAGCGCAACCCCTCTTCTAAAGAGAGCTTTAACATTATCAGGCTCCAGAGCGAGAGTGCTATTGGCATCAGAGAGCGCCGCAGCGTACTTGCACTGCTTAAGATCTGGAAACAAAACAATTCATGATGTGTTTGATTTATAACATATCTACTATTCCACTGCAAAACATAGTTTAGATTAGTGATAGTCAAAACCAGACACTTTTAACCTCAAAACCGAAACAAAAACATAAAAATCTGGAAGGCAATACCATCTCTTAAGACCAATGCAACAGTTTTTATTAAGATTGGAACTAGCCTACTTGTGCCATTTATTACAGATTGCAGAAATCCTTCTAATCTCACTTTGATATTGCAACAACAATAAGAAATTCTGAAAATACAGAAAACTTTTATTTTTGTTAAATTAAGATTTTAAGATCAGTCTCTTTTAAACTTCTTTTCTCTGCTGTGGTCACAGTCGACAACACAGAAGATCACTTCAGTATTGAGCTTTTTAACTGCCGTTTCCTTTCAATCTACTCTCAAAAAGTCTTTTATTAGGATAAAATATCAGTGTTACATTGCGTGAGCCTTTATTGTGTATCTATTGGACCCTGAACTGATAGTTTTCTCAGTTTTAATGGCTAGACTCAATCCCTTACCAAAAACTATTTAAAAAAGAGATTGGTGACTTTTTATTGCAACTTTGTCACACCCTAGTAAGATCTATGGCTTTAGTAAATCCAACACTAAGCAGTGTGTTTGTGTAACATATGAATATTAGTTGTTTTGATTTTTGGTCTAGTTTCCGTTTCCATCTACAGTAGCCCATTATTTATATGCAGTAGGCTCCCACATAATTGTTTTTGAGGAAGCAAAACAAAGAAATGTTGAACAAAGCTTCAAGGTCAAGCTATCTGTTGTGGAGTCAATCTCCACAACACAGCACTCTTTGAATGTCCCGCCAATCTCAACCCCTACCGCTGCTCGCGCATGCGCAGGGAGCAGGCGGGTAAGACGAGGAGAAGACGCTCTGTCGTGCTCCTGACTTCGTACACCATGGAAGGCTAAGTTCTTGGGAAATGGGGGGACGCCCCCTTAAGGTATTGTGTCGTAGCAGTAATAATTAAATAATATGTAATTTCAGATCATGGTATCAATTCACTATATCATTCATTCCATTATTAGTTATTCGTCATTAAATCAAATATTAGTTCACGTTGTGTCCAGTCAAGTCATATAGTAATTATTTCATAAGTTGAACAATGTACATATTTCTGTGATATAAATGCATTAATTAATCAAACAATCATCAAAGCTGGCTATAAGGCCTGTGAATTGCGGTAAATTGTCTCCTCTGCATCAATAAATGTGTTCAGTTAACGTTTCCAGCAAGAACGATTTGGTCTGGATCTTGAATCACATGACCAGGTCACCAAAATGTGGCACCATTACGCCACAAGTGGTAGCAGAGCAAAAGCGTACGATCCAATTTTATAGACAAACCGCAATTTCAGCAGGTCCGAAGTCGTTAAAAATGTTTTTTAAATAAAATTTGCCTACACGTGTTGTGCGGTCTGGGGTCGGTGTGCTAGCCTGAGTCGACAGGAAACGATGACTCATGCGCGGACCGGTCGGGATTACGCAATACGTGAGGCAGTTTCCATTGCAGTTCAAACTCTTGCTAAACGCATTTTACTCCGATCAAAGTTGTTAAATAGTTGTGTAGACCCAGTGATTTTTCAATTTTTCCCCGTAACTACTGATTTGTAAGTTGTAATATCGCATAGTAATATCACATGGTTGATTTTGTCACTTTTGTAGTTTGTCACTTTGTGTGTTCAGGCAAAAAAAAAAGGTATTAATAGATCAGTGTAGGACAAAAAATGAATAATGCTTGATTGCTAGCAGTAAATATTTTATTCTGGTATGATCTTGGAGGATTGTTGGATCTATACAATTTAATGATTATGTATTATGTTATTAATGATGTAGTAAAAAACATGTGTCTTCAATTCTTTATTATTGTTTTGTTGTGTTTGTAAACAAGTCCATTATAATTCAATGTAGTATTGTTCAAGTTATTAAAAACCTTTCTAAAGGTAATAAAAGTTCTTTTCATTCATTCTTACTCTCATTACAATTTTAATAACTTGATATTGTGAAATGGATACGATCCTAAAGCCACACAAGTTTAGTGTAGATCCAAGCTCATCATCTGCAAGTAAGGAATGGACACATTGGCACAAAACATTTCAGAATTTTGTTACCAGCATCACACCACAACCATCCGACTCCGATAAACTCAAAATACTTATAAACTTTATTACTCCAGAAATCAACGAGTACATAAGTGAAAGCGGTACGTATAACGATGCTATATCTGTGCTAAGAAGTATCTATGTAAAACCTGTAAATGAAGTATATTCCAGACATAAACTATCTGCACGTCAGCAGCAACCTGAGGAGACTATTGACCAATATCTCCAGGCTTTAAAATTACTAAGTAAAGACTGTCAGTTTAAAGCTGTCACAGCAGAAAAGAATAGGGATGATTATATCCGTGACACATTTATTGCTGGAATAAAATCTTCTGCAATTCGCCAGCGCTTACTAGAAAATGTTTCGTTGACACTAGATCAGGCATATAGTCAAGCCAGATCCCTAGAACTTGCACATGAGCAATCATTAGCTTTTCAATCTTTCCAATCTATAATAAATGCAACTTCGTCCCAAGAAACTCAAGCGAGCAATCAGAATGTAGATGCAACTTCAAGCAGTTTAGAAAAGTGTTCTCTAGCTGCTGTGACTGAAAAATGTTTCTTTTGTGGTAATCTAAGACATCCTAGGGTCAAATGTCCAGCTAAAAATACAATTTGTCATAACTGTGGTAAACAGGGGCATTTTGCTAAGGTCTGCAGGGCAGGTAAACTACAAACCAAGCAATTGGATAAATCTAAAGAAGTAATGAACTCTATTGACCTAGCAGCTTCGCCCGGTGGGTTAACAAAGAGTACAGTACAAGCCCTAGTTAATGGTAAATCTGTCTCTGCTTTGATAGATACGGGAAGCTCTCTAAGTTTTATAAACAAATCTACTGCTCTTAATTTAGGTATTCCTATAAAACCAGGTAGGGGTACTGTCTCAATGGCTACTACGTCAATCACATCCGACATAACAGGTCAATGCAAAGTAAATCTTGTCATTCTTGATCACTTTTACAAGCAAGTTAATCTTTCATTGTTACCAGATCTTTGTGCAGATATAATTGTTGGACATGATATTTTGAAAAACCATGCAAGTATTAAAGTAGTCTTTGGTGGCAACAAGTCACAACTAACCGTATGTAGCGTGGCAGCCTCAACTGTAGAACCGGTATCTTTGTTTTCTAATTTAAAACCGGAATGTAAGCCAATCGCAATCAAGTATCATCGCCATAGCACTGATGATTTAAAGTTTATTGAAAACGAAGTAAGTAAATTGCTTAAAGACGATGTTATAGAGCCTAGTATGTCTCCATGGAGGGCTCAAGCATTAGTAGTTACTACTGAAAATCATAGAAAAAGAATGGTCATTGACTACTCCAGGACTATAAATCGTTTTACATTACTGGACGCTTACCCACTACCTAGAATCGATGATATTGTTAACAAAGTTGCAAATTATGAGTTTTTCAGTACTATCGACTTGAAAAGTGCGTACCACCAAGTAAAGATAAGAAATGAAGAAAAGCACTACACAGCTTTTGAGGCCTGTGGTCAACTCTACCAGTTTAAACGTATCCCGTTTGGGGTCACTAATGGGGTGGCAGCATTCCAACGTGTAATTGACCAAGTCATCCGAACAGAACAGTTACAAGACACTTACGCCTATCTTGATGATGTCACAATCTGTGGAAAAACACAAGAACAACACGATATAAACTTAAAAAAGTTTATAGAAGCTGCATCCAAATACAACCTAACTATTAATAATGAGAAGTCTTCATTTTCACTGCGATCGATCAACTTGTTGGGCTATCATATATCAAACAAAACTATCAAGCCTGACCCCAGTCGCCTAGATCCTTTGAAAAATTTACCTCCACCCAGAGACACCGCATCACTGAGGAGGACCCTTGGTATGTTTTCACATTATGCATCACTTATACCAGATTATGCTACCAAAGTGATTCCACTTGCGCGTACTACATTCCCTTTGTCCAAAGCAGGGCTCCAGTCTTTCGAAACTATAAAAAGTGAAATCATCGGATCTGTAGTAAGCTGCATTGACCCTGAAGCACAGTTCATTGTAGAAACTGATGCATCTGATAGTACCATTGCTGCTACTTTGACTCAATCGAACCGGCCAGTCGCATTCTTCTCAAGGATACTTTCTCCAGCAGAACAAAGACATTCAAGTGTCGAAAAAGAAGCACAAGCTATTGTGGAAGCACTGCGGAAATGGCGTCACTATTTGGTTGGTAAACATTTCAAGCTGATTACTGACCAGAGGTCGGTTTCTTTTATGTTCGATAACAACCGTCATGGCAAAGTGAAAAATGAAAAGATAATGAGGTGGAAACTGGAATTGTCGTGCTTTCATTATGATATTGTATATAGACCCGGTAAAGATAATATGGCTGCAGATGCCCTGACTAGAGTATGTTCTTCAATCCAAAATCAAGAAAAACTGTTGATTGATTTACATGCGAATCTATGTCATCCAGGTGTGACACGTTTGTACCACTGGGTTCGAAGTAAAAACTTGCCCTACTCGATTGATGAAATCAGACGAATAACAAACTCCTGCAATGTGTGTGCTGCTGTGAAGCCTAGATTCTTCAAACACAAAGGGATTTTGATTAAAGCCACTTCTGCATTTGAACGGCTGAATATCGATTTCAAAGGCCCGCTGCCTTCATCAAATCGAAACCGTTACTTATTAGTAATAGTAGACGAGTTTTCACGGTTCCCTTTCGCTTTCCCTTGTTCAGACATGTCATCGTCAACAGTTAAGTCGAAACTAAAAACATTATTTTCTACTTTTGGGGTTCCTAGTTACATACATTCGGACAGAGGAACATCATTTCTGAGCCAAGACTTAAAAAGCTACTTGAACTCACTTGGAATCTCAACTAGTAG